CAAATGCATCAACATGGTCAACTTGTACTCATATCAGCAGCTGAAGGTTAAAGTTACACAGTTAGGTGCCAGCTGGAGGAAGTCACAGGCCACACCGGAGGACTTTTATTGTGACAGTCGGCTGTTACATAAACACAAACTGACTCTGTGCTACTTCAGCTTGACACTTTTATCTGATAAGTGACTTTAACCGTGAAAAAAATCCAAATAAATGAACCTGGAATTTATTATGAATTTATTTGTTAATTAGTTCCCTGGTAACCGAATCACAGCTGGTATTAATGCACACTGGCATCTTTCAGGAAGCAACAGAAATGTTCATTTTAAATCTGTTTTATCTAATCAATGTGTAGTTCAAGTCAAAAATCTGTAGGTATTAAAAGCACTTGGCCAATAAAATAAATACATTTTTCACATTCCAGTAACAAGCTGGGATTGGTTCCAGCCCCCCTGTGAACCTGAAGGGATAAGCTGATGGAAGGACGGACTTATGCTTATTTAATACTTATTATTTTATAAGTTTTGTTTGTTTATTAAATAAGTGAGAGCAAATGGTTAACCCATCAAACCTGAATTTATATGTAAAATTAATATATTTGTATTATTTGTTTATTAAACAGTGCAAACATGTTCAGAGATTTTTCTTTGGCTGGATTCCAGACTTTTATTAGCAGAAAATGTGATTAATTGCGTTGTAAAGCAATTAACGAATGAATCAGAAAACATTTTAGACATAAACTGATAATAACTGCTACAGGTATCGCTGAACGGTTATTTATGACTGACTTATAACAGACCAGCTTTGACGCTCACAGATCTCTGACAGTCTGATCATAAATTTAAATGCAGAGGAGGGATATTAAACTGGTTATCAGGGGTCTGGGAGGCTGATGTTTTTACTGCCTAGTTTACAGAAAATGAACCATATTTGATGTTAAGTTTTATTTAAATGAAACAGTTGGGGAAACGAATATTTAACCTCTGGGAAATGTCTCGATAATCATTACGATGAAGCAAAAGCGTCTTACCTGCATCCGGTGCGTTTATTCTGAAACTTCAGCTGGGTGTTTTGTATGATGTTATCATAGTTTGGTCATATCGGTTTATCACATGTGACCCACATTAAGCTGACCTATTGAATTAGTTTTATTCTGAAGCGTCACACCGGTGCTGGTGAGTGCGCGCCTCACGCGCGTTTTTACGCACAGCTTTTATGATCTGCAGGACTTTGTGCACGGCCTTTGGACCTTCTGCTCTGTTCTTAATGCCTGTTTTACTGCAGCTGGGAGTCAAACATTACCCCGTTAAATGCCTCCTATTTTGAACTGACCTTAGTGTAACAGCAGCTGATGAGGAGCAGCGGTAGCAGGTACCCCAACACCAGGAGGGTCACTTTGTAGGCGTTTTTGGAGGCTCCGGCCCAGTCCTCCCAGCAGAAAGTTCCGTTGTGGTAGCTAATGAGGCCCTGGTGCTTGGCCACCGGCACCGAGCACACCAGAGACATCGTCCAGATGACGCACAGCCCTGCCAGTGCGTTCCTTGGGCTCCGGACGCTCAGAGATTTGTTGGAGCGCACCACGGCAATGTAGCGGTCCACGGACATGGCCACGAGCGTGAAGATGCTCACAAGCATGTTGACGGTGAAGATATAGTGTACAAACGTACAGAGGAAGGCCCCGAACACCCACTCCGGCAGAGTGTAAATGGTGGCTTGGAAGGGCACGCAGAAGAGCAGGAAGCCGAGGTCCGCCACGCTCAGGTTCAGGATGAAGATGTTGGTCGGGCTAAGCGAGCGCCTCCCAACTCCTCCTCCACTTCCACCGCCGCCTCCCCCACCTGCGCTGTACCCCACCTTCCCTATCACTACTAGCACTAGAATGTTCCCCACCACCCCCAACACGAAAATGATCCCGAACACCACCGGCACAATCACCGACTCCGGTGTGTGTCCGCCGTCCACTGACCGATTGAACTCAGCCACGGAGCAGGAGTCGTTTTCCGGGAGCGCCATAGTGGAGCAGCTGGAGGGTTAGAGGTGCAGAGAGGGACAGGCTGACAGAAAGACCAGCTCCATGATCCCGATCAAACACCTTCAGCAGTGGAGTCAGCGGAGACTCTGAGGACTCCTGGAAACACTGCAAGATTAGGGAAACGTTGAAGGCTGTTTCCTGTCCGGGGACTTCAAAGTAAAGCCATGTTAATCACAAGCTAGTCCTCTATTTCTTACTTTTATTCGTGCTAATAAAGAACCTAGATGTGCAGCAGTGAACAAAGTTTCTTCATTTCATCTTGAGAAAGAACAAAACGTCACTGAGAACCAGAGCACAATAAAACAGTATTAGAGTGAAGGCACATAAAGCAGGTGAAATTTTACATCTTAAAGATGTCAACAGATTCATTTAAAAGCTCAGGAGATATTTAGTTAATTGAAATTATTTATAAAACAAAAAGTTCACTTTTTAAGGAGTAATGCAAATAAAAATATATATATCCATGCAGTGTGTGTGAAAACATTTTATAAAACTCAAACAACACTTTAAAAACAAAAATTATGGACCTTTTATTATTTACATCAGATGCATATTTTTAAAGATTTGTGTCCCAGAGATAATGTCACTTTTTAACATGTTGTGATATAGAGACTAAAGTGCATGGCATTTGTTGTTGTTACTGTATATTCTTGTATAATAGGTTTCTGGTCACTTTATATAGTTAAACGCTACGAGTGTGGAGTGTAAGAGTTCGACCTTTTGCAAAAATGAGCAGGAATGAAGCTGAACTACTAAGAGTTGGTTTGATATTTTGTGCTTTTTTCCCCATTATTTTTTGTCATTTTTGTATCTACTCATGTTTATATAATATAGATTCTGTTTATGTTCTTTGATAGGTTTAAAGTGCTTTTTTATTTATTCGTATCTGTTTTTCTCTCCCAATAACTAACAGAATATCAGTGACCTGGGTTTCGTGACGTTTCTCCTCTTCAAAACTTTGTGTCGCTCCCAGCTGTCTTGACCAACGAGGCTTTTATTTTGTGGAGCAATTTGTTTGCCATTTCCCGTTCAGAAGTTTTGAGGCGTGTCTCAAGTTCAATTTATTTCGATGGCACTTCGTACACGCTGAGCTTTTACTGTCTGCTGGGAGTCATCACAGCGTTTCATTCATGTCAATATTTAGTTTAAAAAACGAAGATAAAGTTTCTGTGAGTCTAAATCGGAGTTTTTCTGATCACTTTGCTTTTAAACTTTTAAACACTAAAATCCTCTCGTGCTGATAAGTCTAACTGTGGATCATTGCACGCGCACATTATGTTTTATCTGGTGAGATAACATTATCACACATTACATTACACATTTTCTACGGGTGCTTCTCAACCTGCAGTCTTTACTGAACCAAGAAGCCTTTGAGAAAAAGTACTGTTCTGCTTCAGAGCAACACACCTGTGCTCAGGATGCTGTGGAGAACTAGGTAGAAGCCGTGGCCTGTTAATAATCCATATTTTAAACCAACCGCTTTATTAAGAACACATACCCAGTCTAATGAAACCCAAAACAACAGCACAGATTCCAGTTTTGTTCTTTTATGCTCATTAAAGTTGCAGTAGGAGGTTCACCGCATATCGTGGTATTGAAAAGTGTTCCTAATATTTTGTCCTAGTATAATAAACGTGTAACCCAGGTTAAAACCTGTTGATGAATCAACATATCACTTCCTCTCGCTTTGCCTCATTACTTTTGGACCTGTTTGGTTTCTGCTACCTGGTGCTCTGAATGGGTCAGTTACCATTTTATATTTACCAGCCCAGCTAGTGCTGTTTATGTTAAATGA